GAATACAATAGAATAACAGTTGGAAGGGACCTTAGAGGTCTTCTAGTCCAACCTCCTGCTTAGGCAGGAAACCCTACACCACTTCAGACAAATTGTTATCCAACATCTTCTTAAAAATGTCCAGTGTTGGAGTATTCACAATTTCTGGAAGCAAGTTGTTTCACTGATTAATTGTTCTAACTTTCAGGAAATTTCTCCTGAGTTCTAAGTTGCTTCTCTCCTTGATTTTTCCACCCATTGCTTCTTGTTCTACCTTCTTGTGCTTTCGAGAATAGCTTGACTCCCTCTCCTTTGTGGCATCCCCTGAGATATTGAACACAGTTATATGGCTCCCCTAGACATTGCTATCACATCTAGCCTTCCTTGTTGCAATACGTAGATCAATATTAGTCTTTCTCTCTCTCTTTTTAATAAGAAACTCCTGTAATTTATTTTGCATTTTGTCTTTCATTTTCATATATGTCTTTTCAATAAAGGGCTACCCTAACTCCAACTCTAATCTTAAGCTTAACCCTTTTCATGACTCTCTTGTCATACATTGCCTAAATAGTTTTTGTCATTGTGCATAACATCTAGGTATTATATACAATGCTTAAGAAATGTATATAGCATATTAAAAACATAGACATTCCACATTTTGCCTAAAAACACCATACATTTTATAGATTTCCTATACAATGCCAGTTTTTCACACATTACTGATAACATATGCATTTACTCCCCAGAGTATTCAAACAGACTGTACAGTTATCTAGATTCAAAAGGAAAAGAGGTTTTGTAGTATATAGGGCAGCCATGCAACACTTGTCAACAATTTATTAAAATTGGAGCTAATGAGGTGCTGATGGAAGCTACATGGGTCATCACACCATTCAACCATCAAATTTTCTCTTTTGAATCCAAATCCTGCACAGCTATAAAGATAAATAATATTCTTTTTCTGGTTGGTTAAATTTTTATTTTGGCAGCAACTCAAAAAGGCCCTCTGGCAAATAAGATGTTGGCTTCTGCTTTATGGGGATGGGTAGCAGTAGCCTGATCTAATTCATGCCCTCATATCTGGCATTTGCCCAAGATGTTGGAACAAGTAGGGTGTTGGGTGTAGAATATTAATGGGCAAGACGTTCTGGATGTTAAAAGGACATTCCAGTGCAAAATTTTAACATGAGCTAATTGAAATTGGTCAGCTCTCCACTTCCAAAATAACTCCTTATCACTGGAGAAGATCAGACAATATGATTCCATATAAGAGTGCAGTTTTAATGAGTTGCTTATTGATTGAATTATAGAGATTTGCATAGTCTTGACATTTCAGTTCCTAATATTGTAAAAAAAAAGTAAATATGGTACCATTATATTCCTTTCTACTTTTGAAAATGAAATTAATATTTTACTTTCAATTGCTATTATTAGTACTTTTAAAAAAATGCAATATGAATTGTACATGTGTAGAATAGAGTAGAGTAGAATAGAATAGAAAGGATAGAATAAGTAGAATAGAATAGAATAGAATAGAATAGAATAGAATAGAATAGAATAGAATAGAATAGGACTAGTAGAGTTGGAAGGGACTTTGGAGGTCTTCTAGCTTTAATGCAACCTCCTGCTCTGGCAGGACAGCCTCTACCATTTCATACAAATAGTTGTCCAATCTCTTCTTAAACATTTTCAGTGTTGGTGTATCCACAACTTCTAGAGGCAAGCTGTTCCACTTATTTAATTGTTCTAACTGCCAGGAATTTTTTTCTTAGTTCTAGGTTGCTTTTCTCCTTGGTTAGTTTCCATCCATTGCTTCTTGTTCTACCCTCAGGTGCTTTGGAGAATAGGTTGACTCCATTTTCTTTGTGGCAACTCCTGAGAACACTGCTATCAAGTCACCCTTAGTCCTTCTTTTCACTAAACTAGACATACTCAGTTCCTGCAACTGTTCTTCACATGTTTTAGCCTCTACTACATAATTTTCTCAAATCAGCAGAAAAACAAAACTGACATGAATGTTACTATTACCATGGAGGCTCCCTGACCCCCCTGCAATGAAATCACTGTCATTGGTGATTTTTCTATAAGGTTTTGAGTTGATAGAATTTGACCACTTTGAACATACTTTTGGAGTGTATTGGAATAGGAGTATTCCTTCAGCATCAATGCAGCTATGGACAAGTTAAGCTTATTTTTTTTACTCATGATCTGAGAATTAGATGAAGCAAAGTTTTAAAACATCATAAAAAAATATGAAGCTAGAAACCTTTTTGCTATGGTTAACTGCAAGTGAGACCATTATTACCTTATTTGACAAAGGAAAGCAGTTAATTCTAAACACATTTTGCTTAAAGTTGGTAGCTCTAACAATACAAGGTTTAGAGGTTAAATTCTAAGGATGATTTAGAATGTGTATATGCATGTGTGTCTCTGTGTGAGTTGAAATATTTTCACTGGGCTCATCTATCCTTCGTGGTATAGTTCAGCAGATATTTTCCTCAAGAAGATTGCTACACACAAGATTACAAAACTGTGGAATATCAAAAAAGGATGTAAAAACCTCTCCATACAACCACAGAATTGCAGTATGTAACAGTCAGTTTGAGAAGAGAAAAGGGCTCCGCCTGATATCTTCCATTCTCTGAACCTTGGATTCTTCTTGAAGGGAGCCTGAAAGGGGGAAAATTGAAAAATTGGGTGAGTTTCCACGTGGAACAGTTCTAGAGGTTACACTATTACAGGAATGGACAGCTTATGAAAGCAATGAATGTAATGAATGAATGGAAAAAACGCAGAGATGAGAAACTAAGATGATTAAAAGCCTGGAGAATAAAACATGAAGAATGGTTGCAGGATTTGGGTTTAGCTTGTCTAGATAAAAGAAGGACTAGGGGTGACATGATAGCTGTATTCCAATATTTGAGGGGCTGCCACAAAGAAGGGGAGGGGTTGTCAACTTTCCCCCCAAAGGACCAGAAGGCAAGACAAGAAACAATGAATGGAAACAAGTCAAGGAGAGAATCAACTTGGAATTAAGGGGAAACTTCCTAACAGTGAGAACAATTAACCAAACAATTAACAACTTGTCTTCAGAAGTTGTGGGTGTGTCATCACTGGGGTTTTTAAAGAAAAGACTGGACAGCCACTTGTCTGAAATGGTATAGGGTCTCCTGCTTGATCAGGGGGTTCGACTAGAAGGCCTCTAAGGTCCCTCCCAGCTCTCTATTCTGACTCTGACTGTAACTTCATGAGAGAGCTATTTAACCAAATAGCTAGCATCTGTTCATAAAATAACACTTGGAAGTGATTGAATTTGCATATAGTAACTGAAAACATGGTATTTAAAGGCATGGAAATATGATGTTTAGGAATTTATGATGCATAGTTCAGCTAGAGAAGCTTCTTAGATCCTATTCAACTTGAAGAATTTTAACTTCAAGGTGCTAGTTATTACTTATAAAGCACTATACGGTTCAGGGTCTGAATAGTTAAGATATATCTTATCTCCAGTCATTTCCAGTTTGAATTAGTGGTGAAGGTACCAGACTAGAAATCAGGAGACTGTGAGTTCAAGGCTAGCCTTGGCCATGAAAGCCAGTTGGGTGACCTTGGGCTAGTCACTCTCTGTCAGCCCAACTCACCTCACAGGGTTTGTTGTGCTGGGGACAATTGGAGGAGGAAGGAGTACCAGGTATGTTCCAGAGTGAGGACCTTTTAGCTCTCCTCTATGAAACATCATCATCTTCTGGGATCAAGTAAGTGAGCCTTCTCTTTTGCAGCTCACACCCTCTGGACTAGCATCCCTTCACAGATATGGATGGCACCTCCTAGGGATCTGGAAAGCTCTTAAAGCCTATTTTGGATCCCAGGCCTGGAGTTGTTGCAGTGTTGTTGCTATGGTCTTTTGTTTGGGGTGGGGAGAAGCACTGTTTTGCTTGATTTGTACAGGTAGTCCTCGACATGTGACTATGATTGAGCCTAATATTTCTGTTGCAAAGTCAGATAATTGTTAAGTGAATTTTGCCTCATTTAACAACCTTTCTTGCCACAGTTGGTAAGTGAATCACTGCAGTTGTTAACCTGGTAATGTGGTTGTTAAGTGAATCTGGTTTCCTTATTGACTTTGCTTCTTAGAAGGTCACAAAAAGGGACCACATGCCTCTGGGACACTGCAAACATCATAAATATGAGTCAGTTGCCAAGCATCTGAATTTTGATCATATGACCATGGGGATGCCAAAACAGTTGTAAGTGTGAAAAATAGTTCTAAGTCACTTTTTTCAGTGCCATTGTAACTTCAAATGGTTGTTAAGTGAACTATGGTAAGTTGAGAACTATCTGTATTGTTCTTAGCTGGGGCTGTCTGAGTGGTTTTACATTTTCTTACATTTTTTATTTCAGTTTTATACATCAAGAGAATCCAGTGGCCTCGGGACGTTCTAATAAATAATAATAAATACAAAGTGATTTCTGAACCCTCTTTTGGCATAGCAAACCAGCTAGCTTTCCAACTTTTGCTTATCCTTGATTCTTCAAAAATCAATATGTTTTAGGTCTAAAAGATCTGGATGGCCAAATTCCAAGTAGCCACTAAATGGCACCAAAGAAATACTGAACATCTCACAGTTTTGCTGCTTCCTCCTGGTTGTTTGAAGATTGGCCACCCAGATTTCCTTTTCTCCTTTCTTCCTCTTCTGATTACTGTACTATTGCTTCAAAAATGATAAGCTGGGAAGGAGAACACCCATACATTAATTTTGAGCAGGGGTGTCAAATTCAATTTCATTGATGGTTAGGTTTGACCTCGGGGGGGGGGGGCAGGGTGTGTGGGGGGGGAGTGGGCATGGCCAGGATGGGCCATCACTCATGTTGGAGGCGCCTATGGTGGCCTGAGTGCTTTGCCAGACAAAATGGGCTTTCAAGCTCCATTTTCGGCTGCAACAGTCTCCTGCAACCCTCTGCCACATGGCACATGGCCTTCCTGAGCTCCAGACAGTATTTTGCTGTTTCCAGGGAAGCCCATGGCCCGGATTCGGCCCCCAGGCCTTGAGTTTGACACCCCTGATTTAGAGTGTGCCAAAGGGGCTTCAGGATGTAGTCACTACAAAACCAAGGTTTGCTGCAGTTCCTAGACGTTTTGAATCTTAGATCCACCTGTGCTTAGCAGTTTCTATAGCAAATTAAGGTTATGTAACAAAAATAGGTGGGTATTTATAGCTGATGGAAGAGAAGGATGAACAAGTCTGGAAGAACACTTATGAATGGGATAAGCAGGGAAACAAAAAGTTGTAGAGCTAAAGAAGGAAACCTAGAGGGCTTATAGATAAAATATGCTTTGGTCTATATCAGTACCTGAACTGGTTTAGGTTGGCTTGAATTAAGGCAAAGCTATGTCTAGATTTGTTTTTTCTAAAAGAGGTAAACTTTAGCACAGGCCAGAAGTAGGGCTGAGACAATATTTGCAGACCCCTCACATCCTATGAAACAAACTGTTTCAACTGCATTCATTTGATGCCACTAGGGGGCATTGCACACCAAAATCATTAGACACACTGATAGTTTTTCTCTCTCATGTCATCACTCTGCTGAATTCCCACAGTATTGTCTTATAAGTCTAAGGTTATTTGCGGGGTGGCTGTATTGATATTATCCCTCTCAACCTCTCCACGTGTCATGAAATTAAAGTTTTAATCAGTTCTTCTGGCTGCTAATTGGCATTTAGGGATGTGTTGTGCTAGTCTTCTATCTGTCTATCTCTCCTAAGTGGTGCCTGTTGCAGCCTTACACTCTATGTAAATGACTCCTGTTTTTCTTCTTCTTCTTCTGGAGCTGTTGGGGACTTTTGATTGACTTAGGATGTTTTGGAGGGCTTTGGTTGGTTTCTGTGCTATGCTGATTCCATGTGATTATAATAGTCTGTTGGTGATTTCTGAGATAATTTTTATGCAGACAATGTTATAAGGAATTATATTTCAACACAACTGGAGAGTGTCTTCTTAGGCAGACTGCTTTAGCTTTTGAAAAAAATATTTTAATAGAGCAACATTATAAAAAAAACCAGTGTGATCTATTATGGTTAGGATACTGGACTGGCACATGGAGGATCCAATTCTGGTCCCCTCAGCCACAGAAGCTCAATGGATGATTTAGGGCCTCTTGTCTCTCAGCATTTTATGTAGATGTTATTTATGTCTCTGTGTCTATTGATGGCCGATTTGTCAGAGCGCCAGGCTTCCAGGAATTACCTAGCATTTTTTGGGACATAGCTTGAACCTTAACATCTCAATAGTTGTTACTGGAGTAATTGGGAGAAAAGGGTATTGTTTATGCCTACTTGATCTCTTGAATGAAAAGTGAAAAACCCTTAAATAAAATCAAGGGAGGTAGTAGGGGTGAAACCAATTTACCTTGGCTACCGTTTCGCAAATGTGAGCGTGTGTGCGGAAATGTGCAGAGCATCAAAAATGGGACGTGATGCCTGAATTGCACCACTGGGAGGCAGGATAGACTTCTACCAAATAAATAAAAAGCAGAGAGGGTGAACAGAAGTTACATGTCGAGAACAGGGGGATCTTAGTTAAGTGATACTTTCTCAACACAACAACTACATACTTCTGTACAGACAATATCAATTTGCTTTCTGAGTAAGAGGTATATTTTAGCTGGGGATTAGCAATATATTAGCAAATTTATATAGCACTCCATAATGCTTTACAACACTCTCTGGGCAGTTTACAGCATGTTGCCCTCAAAATTCTGGGTCTTCATTTTACTGACCGCTGAAGGTTGGAAGTCTGAATTAACCTTGAGCCCGTCAGGATCAAACTCCAGGCTGTGGGCAGAGTTTGCCTGCAGTACTGCATCCTAACCCACCACGACTCTGTATTATTTCTTATCTTATTTTCTTATTTTGTATTTTGCAGCTACTGTCTCAGGACCGAGCCATGCTTCTTAAGGCCTACTGCTTTTGGGCTCTCTTTCTCCTGCTCTGTCTCCCAGCTACTTCCTTCTTCCTCTGCAAAGAAGCTTCATCCTACAGAGAATTTCTCAGTAGACATGTGGACAACCCCAAAACGGATCTTCAGGATGACCACAACTACTGCAACCGAATGATGCGTCGCAAGGGCTTGAAATGTCAACGGAGCAACACCTTCATCCATGCCAGCAGTCAACGGCTGACCGCCATCTGCAACTCCAAAGGAAAGAAACTGGACGGCAACCGGACCAGCAAAACCCTGTTCCCGATCACCATCTGCATCAAGAGTAACCACCGCAGGACAATTTTTTGCAAGTACCAAGGGATAAGTGAGATCAGGAAAATCCGTGTCACTTGCTCAAGGGGCCTTCCAGTCCACTACATTACCCACACTTGAAAGAAGGGAAGAAATGTGGTGGAACCAAAGGTCCTTTTCTACAGCGCCTTAACAACCTTCCCTCATGTGTTCTCCTCTCCCACACCTGTACGTGCTCAGACTGAGCTTAGCAATATCAGTTTTCTCCAAGTCAATCTATAGCCTTCCTGATTGATCTGTTTCCCCTTTATATCACCAAGTGCAGCTTGATGATTTCTTCAGCCTTTAAAATATCCCCTGCGACAGCTTTGATAGTGTCTTTAAACCCTACATGTGTCCATGCAAATAAAGTTTCTATGTCATTTCCTGATGTTTGGTTGCCTCCTTGTGTCTTTTCTGCAGCATGGCAACCCCTATCTCTTTACGGTAGCACAGGAATTGAGCTTAGCCTTCAGATCAGCCAATCTCAACCTATCATATTGTGGGACTGCCAATCCTGTCATCCTCACCCTGCATAGGCCACCACACAATTTATAGAGAATAAGCCTTAATTATGGCCTAGTTTGTAATGGGTGTTCAAGATGAGGATGTTTATTGCTTCTCTTGTCATTATGTTTCAGCAAAATTTTCCATCAGGGCAATGATGGCTAAACTTTTTGTCCTCGCGTGCCCACACACATAAGGCACTGCGCATGCAATACCCCCCCAGTGCCCTTGCACATGTGCATGCTCCCTCCCACGTGCTTCCCGCCATGCATCTGTGCATGATTCCCCCCATGCCATATTTTGGGCTAGCAGGCCTCCCTGAAGACTCCTGGAACCAAAAATGGGGCACGAATGCATGGGCAACACCCCCCCCCCTGCATGTGTGTGCATCTCCCACATGCACAGCAGAGACCCGGGGGGAGGCACATGCATGGGGGGGGGTCGCCCGTGCATGCGCAGTGAAGCTGAGCTGGGTTGATGGCTTGTGTGTCCGCCGAGAGGGCTCCATGTGCCGCCTGTGGCACAAATGCCATAGGTTCACCATCACAGCCTCAGGGATTTGAGAAGATTGCTATCTACAACAGAGGTCATCCATTGTGATCATTTGGAGTTGCAGAAATGGGGTGAGGGGCCTAGCTCCAGACTGCTCTCCTTTGGGGTAAATTAGAGCACTGTTATTTTTTCCTTCCTTTCAGCTGTTCTTGGCTACTCATACATCTATGGAGATTCTCAGTCATCCAGGTCATGGTTGTCCCAAAGGTATTTTTTCAAGATGAAATTGGACTTTTTCGTTTTTTTCTTTGAAGACATTTCGCTTCCCATCCAAGAAGCTTCTTTAGCTCTGACTGGATGGTGGGGAAGGGAAGGATTTATACTCCTTGAAGACAGCTGGTCATTTGGATTTTTTTTAGACAGAAAGAAACCCAAAAGAATGGAGAGGGGGAATGTAACCCTCTGAAAAGGTGAGATATAAGGCAGTGATCCAACAAAATGTAGTTCCCAGTCTACATCTCTCTATTTTCAGAATATTAACAAGAGAAAGGACTTTATCAGTGGAATGTCTGGTTCTATCAAGAACCCTAAATTTGATGGGTAAGCAGGAAGGAAGGCCTCTCCCATTCCATTCCTGATTCTTCCTTCCTACCACCAAACAGGAAGGTAGTCCTCTTTTCCACTACCCATTCCTGATCCTTCCACCCTTCCACCAAGCAGGAAGATAGACCTCTCCCCCCCTTCCTGATGCTTCCTTCCTATCAACAAAGGAAGCCCTCCCCCCATTCCTGATCCTTCCTTCCTACAAACAAGCAGGAGGGTAGGCCTCTCCCCCCATGTTACATATTCACCTCTGTGCCAGAGGAGGGAGCCGCCCTGGATGCTGATTTGCTAAGCCATCTGACAGTGGGGTATTTAAGGAGCTGTCAGATGGGAAACCTCTGTTCTGTTCATTCGTAGTATTCTAGCTAGGGAGAACGTGGGCGGACAAATGGAGGCTAGCCAGGACTTCAAAATGCTAACAGTTTTTAATGCTTAACAGGTTGCCAAATGCAGCACTTCACAATATCCATGCCTCAGCTAACTGGCAACAGCTGAGCCCTGTTTGACAGCTCTTTATATATGCCAGCTGTCAAACAGGTAACAGGTAATCTGTTTAAGCTCCCATTGGCTGATTTAGTTGCTCTGCTTATTCATTGGCTGACTTTGTTACCATGTCTCTCCCAGTCATGAATATTCTAACAATACAAGCTCATTACAGCACATGGATGTAGATTGAAATACCATCCCCTGGCTTACCAAAGAGCCATGCTAAAAAGCATCGCAGAATAAGAGAAAAAGTGTCAAAAAGATAGAAGACTCTTCAATCCTTTCTGAGAGTTTATTCTTAAAATGGCTTCATTCTTAACTGAATTAAGATTTATGTGCCTTGGTTCAGCTCAGTACCCTTATTCAGATAGTTCTCGAGTTTCAACAGTTAGTGACACTTAGTGACCATTCAAAGTTACAACAGCCATGAAAAAGGTAACTTGAAAAAGTTTTTACACTGATGACTGTTGCAGCATCCCCAGGATCCTGTAATTTAGATTCTGATGATTGACAATTGACTCACATTCATGACGATTGCAATATCCCAGGGTCATGTGATCCCCTTTTGAACTTGCTATCTAATCCTGCATCAGTTAACAATGGTGTTCCACAAGGCTGCGTATTAGGTCCCACACTTTTTTTGCTCTATAGCAATGATTTATGTGATCAACTCATAAGCAATTGCATTCTTTTTTTGCCGATGATGTAAAATTATTCAATTCTACAGATAATTCTGTTGTTTTGCAAAGTGATCTCGACTGTGTGTCGGAATGGTCATCTATTTGGCTGGCCAGCCGGCACAAGGCCTCACCGCTCTTCTCCTCCTCCTTGTCCTCGCCGCTCAAGTGGCGCCGGGCTCCACGGGAAAATGGAATCTTATTACTCTCCCGGTGCGGCGAGCTCCAGCGGACTGGACGTGGGTGTGAGAGGCCTGGCCCCGTGGTGCCTCCTCGCTCAGTTGCAGCCAGCGAAGAAAGGGGAGAGGAGGAGGAGGAGGAGGAAAGGGGGAGGGGAGCAGGATGGGGCTCCCGGTGGGGGGAGAGGAGAAAGGGAAGGGGGGCACAGCGGGCGAGGAGTCTCTGAACAGAGCACCTTGCGCGGAGCTGGGCTGAGAGGCGAGACCGAGGCGAGCCAAGTGGCGGCAGCTTCCGACTTTCGTCCACCGAGTCCTGCTCACTCCAACACCAGGCTTGGCTCACCTTGGTCTCACCTCCTGGCCCAGCTCCACACAAGGGGGCTATCAGGCATCTCCTTGCCCGCTGTGCCCCCCTTCCCTTTCTCCTCTTCCCCCACTGGGAGCCCCATCATACTCTCCTCCCACTTTTCAAACTTCATGCATAAAAAATTATAAGCACTCAGCAAGGAATATAGACAGGTTTAAGATGTTAGATATTAATAAAAAGAAGGTCTCTTTTGAGAAACCAATATGATATTAGATCAATATGTCAGAAGATTGGAGGGTATCTTAAGCTCTGTTGCAATGAATTGAAGCCTCCAGTCTAAAACTGGAGAAGTAACTGAGGTGGGTTGTTTTTTTAACCCTCTTGAAAAGTTTTTTTTGCAAGCTAAGTATAATCGAGAATTAAACTGATTAAGTATAAGAACTTGTAGAACAGTGATGGGATTCAAAAATTTTTACTATCAGTTCTGTGGGCATGCCTTATTGGGCATGGCAGTGGAAGAATACTGTAACATCTCCATTCCCTTTCGATCAGCTAGGACTCCGGAGGCAGAGAATAGATTGAAATGGGACCAGTCAGCGGTTGTATTTACTGGTTCTCCAAACTACTCAAAACTTCTGCTACCTTTTCTCCAGAACTGGTCAAAACTTGCTGATTACCACCTCTGCTGTACAGTAGAATAAAGAATGGGCAAAAAGGAATGAATGCATCCAGTTGAAAAGATTAGATTTCCATATGGTCCTTCAGAGCAGTGAAACCAAACTTCATGCAGATAAGCATTTAGCAAAGAACATGGAGGAAGGAGTATTATGAAGTAGAAATGAGTTCTTTATGTAACACATACAGTATGTATTCGCAGGCATCCTCCATGGAACAGACACCATCACATTTTCCATCAAAACAAGAGGAGCATAATGTTTCAATGCACAAAAGTTATGATAGCACAAGTAGTAGTCTGGATTTAGACTGAAATATCATCCCAGAGTGGCTGCTAAAAAAGTATTGTAAGGTAGGGAAAAAAAGTGACCAAAACACAGAAAATTCTTCAATCCTTTTTATAAATTCCTCTTAATCTGGCTTCATATTTTTTGCTAAATTAGCATATATTTTTTTGCCTTGGTTCACCTCACTATTCCTAAAGTCTCTTTACACTCTCAATACCCATCTATGAATTCTTGTGACAAATTTATCCAAACCTAATCTTAATCCTAATACTAATCTAACTTTAACTCTGCAATTAGTCTACTGAACAGTACTAATAACCTGTAATATAGGCTATATGAGACTTAATAAGGGAATATAAAACATATATTTGCTTTCCTTCATGAGTATAAGATAATATGAGGGCTGAGGAACAAGCTGATGTCAGACTAGAATGCATTAGTTAGTTAAAATACATCCATCCATCCAAAATAGCTTCAAATGCCAAACTTCAAATTAGTTAAAAGGCATAAAAAATGATACACCATTTTCACAGAGTTAGCAAGATTTTACTTCCCTAAGAATAAAATGTTCTGTTTGAAATTTGGATGATACACAAGTACTCTATATTATTTAATGTTTCTAAATATCCTGAAGATAGGATGTTTTTTTTTTTTTTCACCTGCCAAATTTTAATATTTTGCTCTTTCCTTTCATGGTACCTGAAGCAATGTCCCTACTTCCATGTCTAAGCCATCATAGTCAGTCCATGCTGATCAGTTTTACAGAAGGTCAAGATACAAACCTAACAAATGCACACAGAGAGGATTTATAAACCTATCTAGTTTATATGTAGCGTACCAAGTAAAGAATTGTACATCATTTTCATAGGAATAAAAAGGTAATGTTTTC